AACCGAAGGAATTGTAAAGTTCTCAGTGAACTCAGGTATTTACAACTCAAAGAATTAATGAAATTCACATCATGACTGCAAATGCTTTTAATACTTTTATTATAACCATTATTATTTTATCCAAGTTGATAAGCCATACTTACAATAGTAAGAAGTGCTCCTTTTTTGAAGTCTTGCTGGAAAGTGACCAGCTGTGGAATTGTATTTGGAGGTCCCCTTACAAAGCCACTGCAGGTTTGAAAGAAAAAAAAGCAATAATATGATTATGTGCACTTACCAAGCAAAGTGCAAGAGCTGAAAAGTGTGCTTAGAAATGCCATTATAATAATTTTATTACCTGGGCATGATTTCAAATGTTGGTTCCAGTCTTGTTTTAAATAGGGCAACAAGTTCTTGAGCTGGTTTGTCTTCACCTGTGGAAATCATTTTACAAAGTGCAGCTAAGTTTATTGGAAACTGCAATATTTCAGGCAGTGGTAGGACTACATGCAGAGAGTGGCAGGGGGTGCTTGGGTTTCACTTGACTTGAGTTCAACTTTCCAAATGTTAAAGACCTACAAGGACAGGAACCAGGCCTATGTGGCCAGCATTAAAAGGGGAAGGGAAATGGGGCCAATTTCCCCCCCCCCTTGCACGCCCCTCCCACTTTTCACACCCAAATTCCCCCTTTCCCTCCATCTTTAATATTTTAAATATAGCTGTGAAAGATTTGACTACTGGGGAAAAAATCACTTTAGCAGTGACGTCTTACCATTTTCCAGACTAATCTTCTTCCAGACCTTTTGAGACTTGAAAGACTTTTTTTTTTGAGATTTCAAAACCCTGTATGACTTTACACACTCCACATCTAAGTTAGCATCTTCATTACCTTGAAAAATAACTGCCAGTCTTTCACCTAAAGGATCCCAAGCCATGGAGCGAACACACCCTCCAGTTGTCACAGACTCATCATCTCTTTCCCAGGAGTGAGGTGTCAAATCAGTGCATCTCACAGCTAATCTTGCACCCTTTGCCATTGAAGAAGTGTTTTCCTTGTCACCTGAAATCATAACATTATGTCAAAATGCTTTTCAGTCAGCCAGACTAAGTTGTTACATTTTCACTACGTTGCAACTTCCCAGCTTGTCAGATGTGAGTCAGTAAAGATATTCTGGATATTTTTCAATTTACTGGTGCCTAAATTCAAGCCCAAGTGTTGGTTACAGAAGCCTTGGGTATGTGCAATAACTACTACTCCTGATGCACTATGAAATTCCCACTTCCCACATTTACAAGGCAAATTGAAAGAGACTCTACCAGTCTATCAGATTACCCTTGAGGTTTTATTTCGGGCATCTCTTCAATACTTTCTCCTATCATATGGCAAGATAAAGCGAATCCTGTTTTCAGATTCTCTTCGCGACTGGGCTACCCAAGCAGGCAAGATGGACCTATCTTTCCTGAGTTAGTCCCTCAAGAAAAAGTTCTCTTTTTGGTATTGATAATAAATTAATGCTTCATTGACCAAGCTTGTTCATTAAAGATGGCTGGATATTGGCCTTGTTCCTTTTCAGCATTTTTATTGACCTCGATTTTGTCTTGAGGTCCATGAATAAGCAAAAAATAAGAACTTGGCCAATATTAAGCCACCTCGACCCCAAGCCAATAACCCTACTTAGTCGAATAACCCACAATCTAACTTAAGAGAGGTTTTTGAAGCAGGGGTGAGCATTTTTCTCTCACATAATAACACCATACAAAGATCTGCGGGTACATCGAGTAAAAATATATATATATAAAAGTATGAACCTACCAACATCTTGAAATTGAAGGGAATAAAGTGCTGCATCATTAGCCACAGAAAACACAAGAACCTTTCCATTAGGACTCCAACATGCTGCCTGCAGTAAAATGTACCATCATGAGGAGTAAGGACACAACAGCTGCTTCAGCAGGGTACTGTGTCACACTTTTCCCTCTTTCCCTCATAAGGCAGTTTATAGTAACCACAGCCAAGATTTTTCAGAGGTATGCACAATTTTCCAAATCCACCTGCTTTCCACCCTCCCTTAAAATCCCAAATCTTTTTCAGGTTCCTCGACTAAAGGTAAAGTCACCTAGCGAGCCTTTGTGTTTTTACTGTATTGTGAAAGAGATAAGGCCTCAAAGACCAGTTTTATGATTTTTGATTTTTATTACCATCCTCAGGACACCAAAGCTGCTTGTGCCATGGTACAGCAAGAGGTGTTTTCCCTTTATCCCTTTAAGTTCCTAGAGTGACAAACATCAATTTTCTCCTGACAATCTCAATACATGATCAAGAGATTAGGTTGTGAGAATTAATCCAATAATCACCTGAGGGAAAATGCTTTGATCTTTTATCAAATTCTCTCAACTTATTCTTTATGGAGATGAACAGAGACCAGTTTGGAGAATTTGAATGTGTATATTGGGGCTTGAAGGGTGAACCGGCTCCTATGAGACAGGTCATAGAACTCAC